GGCTAGTTGGGAGGTTGCTATGGGTCGTGTCGGGGCGTCAAGCCGGCGGCTGAGGCTTAAGGCCAGCAACTGGGTGGTGCCCAACTTTACTGCGTCGCTGGTAAGCACTGTACTGTCATGGTCGGTGCGCTCGTAGCTTTTAATTGCGCCGCTGGTCGGCTGCGTCACTAATTTAACTATTGTTTTTAGCATTGTGCGTGTTGGCCCGGCTACCGCATAGCTGAGCATGGTCAGAGGCTCGGGGTCTCGGTATGGGGCGGGGAACGCTACACTTTGCTTTCTGGTATGTTTTGTTTTAATCTTTTGTCTGTCTTTTGTTTCAATGTAGTACATGTTTTATTTCAGTGTCAATGTTTTAATGTTGTAGGGTGCTGGCGGCGTGCCCGCCTCCCCTTCTTCTTGTTTGGACGAAATCTGCAGACGAGTCGTCTGTTTTTGAGAACTATGATGCTGCTTAACTATGGACAATGACCGAGAGACTGTGGTCAGTGTGCAGACGTGCGCCCTGCGGAATCAAGATAACTGGAAACAAAGAACTGATGTACAGAACCTATTTATTACCAAGAGTTGCTCCATTAAAAACTAAACGAGTATCGTTTAACTTCTGCCTCTGTCCAGTCAATTTAAGCTTACCTGTGTGCCTTAGATCAGAGTACAAATTGGGGACATTTTTGGGTATCATATGCCCTGGCGTTGCTGGTTATGTATGTCCGCTCCGTATTGCCACATTCTACCCCCCGAGTTTGCATCGTCGCCCCGACGATGGACATACTTCACCTAATTCGATGCCTTCAGCATATGGTCTCCAAAACACTGTGCGCGGTGTACCACCAACCCCTACCTACTCCTCGCAGTCTGAGGTAAGTGAAATGAAGGAGCTCCTGAAAAGGCAGCAAGAACAGCTTGACTTGCTTACTCGGAGCATCGCCCTCCTGCAGGCTGAGTCCTCACGTAGTCACTCCCCCCGTCGTCAAGCGCCTGTCATTTGTAACCGGTGCCACCGACCTGGACATATAGCCAGGAATTGCCGTGGATCACGTGGTTCCACTCACTCCCGTTCAGAACAGCAGTCGGAAAACTAGCACCCACCAGGCTGCAGAGCCACAGCTCGGGTGGGGTTCCTACTGGCTCAGGAAACGTTCCTAGTCGTTCCGTTGCTGTTCCAAAACTTATTGCTTCTTGCCCCCATATTAACGTGAACATGGCTGGCGTTATAGTACCATGCTTGCTCGACACCGGGTCCATGGTATCAACCATCACAGAGTGTTTCTTCCGGGAGCATTTTGAGTCTCTGGGCAAAGACCGTCTTCAGGCGTGTCATTGGCTTCAGCTCAGAGCTGCCAATGGTTTAGCCATTCCCTATCTAGGCTATTTGGAACTAGACGTTAAGCTTTGTGGAAAGTTAATGCCTAGGTGTGGTGTACTGGTGGTGAGGGATCCTCCCAGTATGCCTGTGCAGGTTCCTGGTGTGCTTGGTATGAATGTCATCCAGAAGTGCTACAAAGAGCTATTTGGACAATACGGGTCTGCTTTATTTGACACAGCCCCCGTAGTTTTGTCTCCTGACCCTTTGGTCGATGCACTTCAGAAGTGTCATTTGGCTCATCAGAGGCCACTTCCAGCACAACCAGGTAGAGTCAGGGTGCGGAGAAAGCAAGCTTGCCGCATTCCTGCTGGTGTGATGAAGATAGTGCCAACTACATGTTCAGAGCTGTACAGTGATACATCAGCGCTTTTCGAACCCTCAGAGTCTGGTTTACCTGCTGGACTGCTGGCTTCTCCAGCATTGGTTCGGGTAGCTTTTGGGACCGCCTATGTCCCAGTCATCAATGTTGGGACTACCGATGTCCTGCTGCATCCTCGCACCGTTGTAGGTACACTGGCCCTAGTTAATGTGGTGAGCTTGCCTGCGGGTGTGACGGAGGTGCCAGCTGCAGCCGCGTCCGTCTCATCGCAGACGGCCACCACCTCTGTGTCAGATGTTTTTGAAGGACTAGATCTGTCTCTTCTGTCCAGGGAGGAGCAGGACCAGGTGCGATCTCTCTTAAGGAGGTATACGTCAGTGTTTGCTGCCCATGACCAGGACTTGGGATGCACCAACTTGGTCACCCATGACATCCCTCTCACGGATGAGGTGCCAGTCCGGCAGCGGTATCGGCGAATACCTCCATCAGAGTATGAGCTCGTTAAAGAGCACATCCATCAGCTCTTGGAGGCACAGGTGATTACGGAGAGTTCCAGTCCCTACGCCTCCCCCATAGTTCTCGTCCGGAAAAAGGACGGAAGCCTCAGACTGTGTGTTGACTACCGTCAACTGAACAGCAAGACCCAAAAGGATGCGTTTCCACTACCCCGCATCGAGGAGTCTCTCGACGCTTTGACCGGTGCTCGCTGGTTTTCCACCTTGGATTTAGCCAGCGGGTACAACCAGGTACCTGTCACTGAAAGCGATCAGCACAAAACTGCGTTCTGCACGCCATTTGGGTTGTTTGAGTGGAAACGCATGCCTTTCGGGCTCTGCAATGCCCCCAGCACCTTCCAACGTCTGATGCAACGCATCTTTGGGGACCAACAGTGCCAGTCTCTCCTTTTGTACCTGGACGACATTGTGGTCTACTCGTCCAGTGTCCAGCAGCATCTGGAGAGGCTGGCTGTGGTGCTGGGTCGGCTGCAGAAGGAAGGTCTGAAGGCGAAGCTGAGTAAGTGCAGCTTCTTCCAGACAGAGGTGAAGTACCTTGGGCATGTCATCTCTGATCGAGGAGTAGCCACTGACCCTAGCAAAATTGATGTAGTAGCTGATTGGCCCACTCCAACCACGGCCACGGAGCTGCGATCGTTTTTAGGTTTCGCAAGCTACTACCGTCGATTTGTGGAGGGATTTGCAAAGTTGGCTGCTCCTTTGCACCACAGGGTGGCAGCGCTCACTGGTAAGCCCTCCAAAAAGAGAAAAACTGCCCCAATCACTGAGGCAGACTGGACTGAGGAGTGCCAACGAAGCTTCGAAGCCCTTAAGGCCAAGCTCACCTCAGCTCCGGTTTTGGCATATGCCGACTTCTCTCGTCCCTTCATCTTAGAGATTGATGCAAGCCACGGTGGGTTGGGCGCTGTGCTTTCACAAGAGCACGAAGGTAAAGTGAGGCCGATAGCATATGCTAGTCGCGGGTTAAGACCGACTGAGCGGAACATGTCAAATTACAGTTCCATGAAGTTGGAGCTGTTGGGTCTCAAGTGGGCCCTTACAGAAAAATTCAGGGAGTACCTGTTGGGGCACAAGTGTGTCGTCTACACAGACAATAACCCATTGAGCCACCTACTGTCTGCAAAGCTAGGGGCCGTAGAACAGCGTTGGGCCGCTCAGTTGGCCTCCTTCGACTTTGAGCTTAAGTATCGGTCAGGGAGGAGTAACACAAACGCTGATGCTCTTTCTCGGCAGCCCTGGTCATCGCAGACACTGGAACCACTGGTGCCAGGTACTCTTCTGCCTTCTCCTCTTCAGCAAGCCCTGCAGGGTCAGCAGGAGCAGGCGTTACAGTCCATGGTAGTGGTCTTCCCGCACTGCGCTCCTGCTGACCTTCCTACTCTCCAACAGGAGGACTCGGCCATCCAGGAAGTCACGGCATTCTGGCGTCAGAAACGACGGCCCACTCCAGATGAGCGAAAGGGCTTTTCTCAATCTGCCCTCACCCTGCTCGGACAGTGGGACCGTTTAGTGGAACTGGACGGGCTTCTGTACCGACAGGTATTTCGTTCGGATGGTGGTGGTGCCGTACACCAGGTTCTGCTGCCCAAGGCTTTGGTCCAGGATGTCCTAAAGCAGGTGCACCAAGAACATGGCCACCAGGGAGTGGACAGGACCCTGGCCTTGCTGCAAACTCGCTGCTACTGGCCTGGGATGTCCCGAGAGGTAGCTCGGTGGTGCCAGGCCTGTGAGCGGTGCCAGTTCGCTAAGAACAACCAACCCGCCCCTCACAGCTACTTGGGGCACCTGTTGGCCTCTCGGCCAAATGAAATCGTTGCCATCGATTTCACCTTATTAGAGCCTACCCCAACTGGCTTGGAAAATGTCCTGGTGATGACCGATGTTTTTAGTAAATATACCTTGGCCATTCCCACCAGAGATCAACGGGCCTCCACAGTGGCCCAGGTTCTGGTTGCTGAGTGGTTCATGAAGCTGGGCGTCCCCGCTCGCATCCACTCGGACCAGGGCCGTAACTTTGAAAGTGCTTTAATCCAACAGCTGTGCAGTCTGTATGGGGTCATAAAGTCTCGCACTACGCCCTATCATCCAGCTGGTAACGGGCAGTGCGAGCGCTTTAACAGGACCCTTCACAATCTGCTGCGTGCCTTGCCACCCTCGCGCAAGTGAGACTGGAGTTCTTGCTTGCCGGAGGTCCTGTTTGCATATAACACCACCCCTCACCAGTCAACAGGGGAATCCCCTTATTTCCTGATGTTCGTGCAGGAACCTCGGCTACCTGTTGACTTCTTTCTGGGTCAGGTGAGGGAACCGGTGGCAGGGAGCGTTAGTGAATGGGTTCACGAACACCAAGCACGACTAGAGGCAGCTTTCGAAGGGGCCCGGGAGCGCTTAAGGGCTTCAGCCCATCGTCGAAAGAACCACTACGATAGACATGTGCGAGATGCACCCCTTATAGAGGGTCAGCTTGTGCTTCTGCGCAACTGTGCTTTCCGTGGTCGGCAGAAGACTCAGGACCTGTGGAATTCGGTCACCTATCAGGTTATGCAGGTACCGAAGGAACAAGGTTCCGTATACACTGTGGCGCCAGTCGATGACCCCAGTAAGATTAAGCGGGTACATCGCTCTTTGCTTAAAGCCTTTGTCACCTTTGACACATCTGACGCTGCTGTCGGTAGTCCATCTGGTGGTTCTGGTGAACCGCCTCCATTAAGTGACGAACCCTCTCTTGAGTCCTTAGATGGTGACCTGTTTTTAAGGACTCAGCCTACTCTGGAAACTTCCTCCGCTCTTCCCGATCGACATGCTGTGTCTCGGATCACTACTCCGTCCTTACAGCCGCCTCACCCAGTTCCGGCAGGTTTGGGGCTCCCTCAGGTTTCCCCTTCTGGGGTGCCCAATGTTCAACGAAGGCCTGTGGCACAGACTGTCGCCCCTGGCCAGGAGGAGAGCCTGCGTAGATCCACTCGCTCCACGGCTGGACGGCATGCCAACCTGCATCATCTCCCAAGGTCATCACACCTTCCGGCCAGGGGAGAGGATGCTGCATCCTCTTCTTCTAGCGCCGTAAGCACACTCTTCAGGCCATGGAACTAGGTGAAGTATATCCATCGTCGGGGCGACGATGCAAACTGGGGGGGTAGAATGTGGTAAGACGGGCTTTGGAGACCTGTGCTGGTGTGCTCTTACCTGCCGCTCCGTGGCGCTGGCCCGGTGGGCAATAAAAGCGCTCCCAAATCTCAGCTGTATTCCTCTTTGCCCACACACTCTTCCGGGCCCTTGTGTTGGCCGCCTGTTCACCAGCTCCAGGTAAAGTCCCGCTTTATGTCCAGTTTCACGCAATATCCCTCTAAAATTCTGTCACTTAGTAGTCGCTTCACTTTCCATTTAGTGCCACTGTCTGATCACTGCAAAATACAGCATTTCCTCGCTGCTCTGCACCACTCTGGTGCGCGCATCCGTGCACTGTGTTACAGGTAAGATCGCCTTGGCCCATTCTCTCCTCTGTGCCTATCATGTGTACATTATAAAAGCATTAAAGTGGCGTCTGGATTTCAGCCACGCTGCAGGACTGGCCGCGCCATCAGGCAGCCTGCTCCATGCGCCATCCCTTGGCCTTTCAAGCCGGGACCGTGCGCAGTTGCTCACCTCAGCGGTATGTCTCGCTTCGTACTGGGTGTAACGCCTGGGGTGGGGGGCCTTCAGGGCATCACTTCGTTGTCAGTGGCGCCCAGGATAAGCGTGTAGACTGCAAATTGTTTTGATCATCACCGGGACGGCGATAAAGAAAGGGGGGGCAAATGTAGTGAGCTGGCATAAGCTCCCTAGTGAAAGTAGGGGGTGCAGTATAAAAGCCTGTCAATTGCGCTACCTTGCCTCTCCTCTATCCAACGTCACATCCGCTGCACGGGGCTCGGAGCGAGGCAGGCTAGTTGGGAGGTTGGTATGGGTCGTGTCGGGGCGTCAAGCCGGCGGCTGAGGCTTAAGGCCAGCAACTGGGTGGTGCCCAACTTTACTGCGTCGCTGGTAAGCACTGTACTGTCATGGTCGGTGCGCTCGTAGCTTTTAATTGCGCCGCTGGTCGGCTGCGTCACTAATTTAACTATTGTTTTTAGCATTGTGCGTGTTGGCCCGGCTACCGCATAGCTGAGCATGGTCAGAGGCTTGGGGTCTCGGTATGGGGCGGGGAACGCTACACTTTGCTTTCTGGTATGTTTTGTTTTAATCTTTTGTCTGTCTTTTGTTTCAATGTAGTACATGTTTTATTTCAGTGTCAATGTTTTAATGTTGTAGGGTGCTGGCGGCGTGCCCGCCTCCCCTTCTTCTTGTTTGGACGAAATCTGCAGACGAGTCGTCTGTTTTTGAGAACTATGATGCTGCTTAACTATGGACAATGACCGAGAGACTGTGGTCAGTGTGCAGACGTGCGCCCTGCGGAATCAAGATAACTGGAAACAAAGAACTGATGTACAGAACCTATTTATTACCAAGAGTTGCTCCATTAAAAACTAAACGAGTATCGTTTAACTTCTGCCTCTGTCCAGTCAATTTAAGCTTACCTGTGTGCCTTAGATCAGAGTACAAATTGGGGACATTTTTGGGTATCATATGCCCTGGCGTTGCTGGTTATGTATGTCCGCTCCGTATTGCCACACCTAAAAACATGTCTTTATATGTGAAGAAGATGACACAGTCTGGGATCGTGTCTTTATGTTTTATTGTCGATGGTAGAGACAGGACGAACAACACGAACAACAGAATGCAAGTGTATTATACAGAGCGGAGGCATGGAGACCTCCAATCAGCAGCTGCCACAGTGCCATGTAGCTTGGCCTTCAGATAGACACAACAAGGGAAAAGTACTGGCTTCTGCACATTGATAGAATGATGAGTTTAACTTTAACAAAAATTGCTTAAAAGTGTTATGAAATCTCACATTCCCCCCTCTGGTCACACATTCACGTGTGACCATCAGGATCGATAAACAGCAACATACAGTAACATCATATCTCAATACTTCAAAAACTCATAAACTCGGTACTTCACTCGGTACTTGTGTGGCAGAGTGGAGGCTGTTACGCACTCCGAAAATAATGACAAATTAAATAAAAGAAAGAAAAACCAGCAACGCCAGGGCAGAGTGCCCAAAATAAAATAAAAAGCGCTCTAAGGCGCACAAGTTTGTTAAATCATTAAGAGGCATAGGCTTTTATACTTTGAGTCTGTATACATAGAGTCTGTATACTTTGATTTATTATTCTACATTATGTTTAGTTCATTTATAGTCATTCACTAGGTTGTTATGATTCACATCTACTTCACACGAGCCCATCTTCCAGTCACGATGGACTCAGGAGCACAGGTGAACACAAAAAGAAACAGAACAGGGAGAGAAACGAGGGACAGCAGGAGAAACAGCGGTGGGCCGCGATGAGGCCAGTCCTCCAGCCTGTGGGTAAAATAGAGTTAACTTACGAGTAACCACAATGCTGTTAGTGTGTGCAGCTAGAACCTACTTTCATACAGCAATTGCAGAGCACACACCCTTGACGGGTGACGGTTTAAAGGCCAGACCCACAGCCGGCTACGACACACTCGGACCCCAACGAGGGTGGCCAGACGCCAAAGTGACAGAACAGCATGGCTACACAGAAGCAGGGCTCGCGGGGCACAGTGCCACACCGCGGCACTACAACAACAGTTAACATTAGCGGTTGCAACATACCAATATTAGAATTAACACTATAACTTCTCTACCTGGAGCAGGAGGAGGGCTGGCCCAACGACCCACAGGAGACGAAAGTGCAGAGGTAAACAAGAGAGGCGACTTGAGGCTATTTATACTGTCCGTATGCGCCCCCTACTGGACAGAAATATGGTGGCCAAGTCCAGCTTGCCACACTAACATGTGTCGACTCAGTTTTTACTTGTAGGTAAGCAACAGCCCCATAGACCCCTTCTCTGATGCATCGTAAAAGACAAGTAATGTGGAACTCTGAGGTTTCTGCACTGTTTGGTTTCTGTAGAACACAGCGTGGACAGTTGAGTACATGAAGAGTCTGTAATTCCTTCTCCCATAATTTCCATTTTTCCTTTAGTTTGTCTGATTGAATCACACTGTCCCATTCTCTTTCTTCTTTCCACAGGTCTTGCACTAGAATCTTTGCACGTGTTGTGAAGGAGATTAAATAACCAAGAGGATCATATTGGCTCGCAAGAATCTTGTAGACATGATTTCGCAGTGTGAGGTCATAAGAAGTGGCTTGTCTGGTTTTGCAGCTCAGGGTATCGGTCAGGCAATTCCACTGTAAGCCCAACGTTAGTCCTGTTGGGTCCAGTTCAGGCAATTCCACTGTAAGCCCAACGTTAGTCCTGTTGGGTCCAGTTCAGGCAATTCCACTGTAAGCCCAACGTTAGTCCTGTTGGGTCCAGTTCAGGCAATTCCACTGTAAGCCCAACGCTAGTCCTGTTGGGTCCAGTTCAGGCAATTCCACTGTAAGCCCAACGTTAGTCCTGTTGGGTCCAGTTCAGGCAATTCCACTGTAAGCCCAACGTTAGTCCTGTTGGGTCCAGTTGGGTCTGAGAGCCACAGTTCAGTAGGTTTGGATCTAGCGTCAGGTGGGAGATGTTGTATTACAGTACAATCATTGCTTGCTAGGGTTGCCAACCGTCCCTTGAAATACGGAATTGTCCCGTATTACAGAAAAACTACGTGCGTCCCGTATTGAATCGATACGGCACGATTAAGGAGATGGTACCTGTGCTAACACCAGTGAGACCAAGGAGATGGTACCTGTGCTTGAACACCAGTAAGACTAAGGAGATGGTACCTGTGCTAACATCAGTGAGACCAAGGAGATGGTACCTGTGCTTGAACACCAGTAAGACTAAGGAGATGGTACCTGTGCTAACACCAGTGAGACCAAGGAGATGGTACCTGTGCTTGAACACCAGTAAGACTAAGGAGATGGTACCTGTGCTAACACCAGTGAGACCAAGGAGATGGTACCTGTGCTTGAACACCAGTAAGACTAAGGAGATGGTACCTGTGCTAACATCAGTGAGACCAAGGAGATGGTACCTGTGCTTGAACACCAGTAAGACTAAGGAGATGGTACCTGTGCTAACACCAGTGAGACCAAGGAGATGGTACCTGTGCTTGAACACCAGTAAGACTAAGGAGATGGTACCTGTGCTAACACCAGTGAGACCAAGGAGATGGTACCTGTGCTTGAACACCAGTAAAGACTAAGGAGATGGTACCTGTGCTAACACCAGTGAGACCAAGGAGATGGTACCTGTGCTTGAACACCAGTAAGACTAAGGAGATGGTACCTGTGCTAACACCAGTGAGACAAAGGAGATGGTACCTGTGCTTGAACACCAGTAAGACTAAGGAGATGGTACCTGTGCTTGAACACCAGTAAGACCAAGGACATGGTACCTGTGCTAACACCAGTGAGACCAAGGAGATGGTACCTGTGCTAACACCAGTAAGACCAAGGACATGGTACCTGTGCTAACACCAGTGAGACCAAGGAGATGGTACCTATGCTAACACCAGTAAGACCAAGGAGATGGTACCTGTGCTAACACCAGTGAGACCAAGGAGATGGTACCTGTGCTAACACCAGTAAGACCAAGGAGATGGTACCTGTGCTAATACCAGTGAGACCAAGGAGATACGGCACGGCTTTTGTGCCGTATTTTCAAAGTCGCCTTAAATGCCTCACTCACTCACTGCATGTCACACTCGCGACACACGCACACACAGGAATCACAGTTTAAGCGTCTGCCTCACTCAGACCACACTGGGCCTCACTCAGACCACACTGGGCCTCACTCAGACCACACTGGGGCCTCACTCAGACCACACTGGGGCCTCACTCAGACCACACTGGGCCTCACTCAGACCACACTGGGGCCTCATTTAGACCACACTGGGGCCTCACTCAGACCACACTGGGGCCTCACTCAGACCACACTGGGGCCTCACTCAGACCACACTGGGCCTCACTCAGACCACACTGGGGCCTCACTCAGACCACACTGGGGCCTCACTCAGACCACACTGGGGCCTCACTCAGACCACACTGGGGCCTCACTCAGACCACACTGGGGCCTCACTCAGACCACACTGTGCCTCACTCAGACCACACTGGGGCCTCACTCAGACCACACTGGGGCCTCACTCAGACCACACTGGGGCCTCTTTCAGACCACACTGGGGCTTCACTCAGACCACACTGGGGCCTCACTCAGACCACACTGGGCCTCACTCAGACCACACTGGGGCCTCACTCAGACCACACTGGGGCCTCACTCAGACCACACTGGGGCCTCACTCAGACCACACTGGGCCTCACTCAGACCACACTGGGGCCTCACTCAGACCACACTGGGGCCTCACACTGGGGCCTCACTCAGACTACACTGGGCCTCACTCAGACCACACTGGGGCCTCACTCAGACCACACTGGGGCCTCACTCAGACCACACTGGGGCCTCACACTGGGGCCTCACTCAGACCACACTGGGGCCTCACTCAGACCACACTGGGGCCTCACTCAGACCACACTGGGCCTCACTCAGACCACACTGGGGCCTCACTCAGACCACACTGGGGCCTCACTCAGACCACACTGGGCCTCACTCAGACCACACTGGGCCTCACTCAGACCACACTGGGGCCTCACTCAGACCACACTGGGGCCTTAGCACTCAGACCACACTGGGGCCTCACTCAGACCACACTGGGGCCTCACTCAGACCACACTGGGGCCTCACTCAGACCACACTGGGGCCTCACTCAGACCACACTGGGGCCTCACTCAGACCACACTGGGCCTCACTCAGACCACACTGGGCCTCACTCAGACCACAATCTACTCGACACGCCTACCTAACTGCACGCCGCGACAGACGCCTCCGTAGGCCCAGTGCAAGCCGCAGACAGACCCTTCTCGTTTCCTTCGCAGCTGCGCCCAGCACACACACTCTAGCCTCCCTCCAGTAGTGGAGCAAAAGATTGAACCCAAAAGGAGGTTTATTTGGGGCAAAATGGGCGCCAAAATGGCTATGAGTCGGAGTCCGAATAAAATTATTTTCTCATCAAATAACGTTTTTGCCATGCCTTCCACAACACTCTGACACATACACACCTCTCCTCCACACTGACACAACAAATATCTTCACCTCCTCCTCCACACACTCTGACCACAACAAAAAACACTCCAGCTAGCTAAGCTAGACATACATGGTGTTTGCTAAAAAAAAAAAAAAATTAATTTTCTAATCGCTTTAAAAATATTGTTTTTGATGGTGGATATTCGGACTAAACATTGGCAATAGCAAGCGCTCACACACCTGTCATCACACCTGCTGAATTCCTCCTGCCTCCCTCCTCTGCCACGACGAAAGGAGGTCTAGCTCCTCTGCTCACACCTGTATCACTGCTCCTCCTCCACCTCCTCCTCCTCCCCCTCTGCTCACACAAAGGGGTCTGCTCCTCTGCTCACACCTTGTATCCACACTCCGCTCCCCTCCTCCATCCTCCTCCTCCTTCCTCTGCGGTCACACAAAGGGGTCTGCTCCCTCTGCCACACCTGTCTCACCTGCTCCTCCTCCGCGAGAACCATCTCTCCTACACTGCGATTCATTCCGTTACTTCTTTATCTCACTCAGACACTGCTAAAGTTTATACGGACAGTTTTTTTCGAGAGCCCGTCATACCAAACTGCCGCGCGCATCTGCCTGTTTATACAAATCGCTTTTGGTGAAAATTTGACTTTTACGTAAAAATGTTCTTTTGATGCAAACGAAATCAAAGGAGGTCCAGAAAAGGGGTTTAGGGTTACCAAATTTGGAGGGCAGTCTGCCCTTTGGGACCCTTGAACTAGTGTATTTAATAAAAATAAAATAAAGGAAGGAAGATTGCGAGCCCCTCTGTGTGCTGAGGCCCTTGCGACGGCACAGGTCGCACAGCCCTTAAGGACGGCCTGAATTTGGGAGAGGTTTAATCATGAGAGGGGACATTAATTTTATTTTCTAACTTCCAACAAAATGATAAATCGACTGTAACATTGGTCAAAGGCATGGAGTAATAACACGCCGATTCAGTAGGTGGCAGTATACGTGCAATAACTTGAGTCTTATCCCGCCAATAAAGAAACAGAAGCACCTCCATCAGACTGCGCATCGCGCCTCGCTCATCTTTGTCTACGCTGAGGAGGGGGTCACGTAATTTACCTCTACACATGATTTCGGTTTTAATAATTAGAAAACTTTGAATCTCCAAAATTAAAATGCTATTTATGTGTTTACAAATGCAAATGTACAAGTCAGAGCTTTGAATCCATTTTTAAGTCTGTAGTTTTACAGTGATGTAGTCTGGTACGGACTGTTTTAAGTGGTGCAGGCCCTTAAGCCTAAGTGTTTCTACTGTAGTTTAATTGATAAGTGTTAGTATTACTGCAGTCTGCTAAATCCTGACAATAGTTTTATGGGCTTACATTATTTTATAAGTCTTTTCAACTTTGATGCGGTGAATATAGACACAGTTTCTTGTAGAAAACATAGTTATTATTAAACAGTTTTCCAGCACAAACACCAAAACAAATAAAAGTGTAATACAATACGAGTGTATAATGTTTAGATCAAAGATTATATATATTGATTTAGATATAAGTTATATAATTTAGATAGTCCACATCCTCCTGTATATCAGCTCTGAGCCCAAACTGCTTGTCCTCGAAGCACAAAGCTCATCTGCACCATAGTTCCGTCGTCCATGCTCGCCTGCTGCAGCCGCTCCGTGCATCCTCCATACAACACACACGGAGAAACCAATCACAGCGGAGCTTCCTTGCGCGACCTTAAAAGTAGAATATGTAAAAATCAGTGCCAAAAGGTGTACTGCAAGTCACAGTCAATATTTGTAGTCCTCGTCCTCACTCTCCCTGACTCAGGTTTGCATATTTCACACCAATCCATCAGCAAACACAGGGAATTATTTTATCAGTTGTTTTGTCGTCACATTCACATTGCCATACAGAGCCGTGCTAAAGCTGAATGAATTGTGTTTGATTAATGTTTTTTTTTATATTATTATTGGACATTGATAAAAAAACAAAAAACAAAATATAAGCAATGTAGTAAACATAGTTTTATGCAAAAATAAAAAGCAATTGAGTTCAAAATAGAGTGGGAAAATGGATTGTTGGACCTATTTCTCAGCGTATCAACATACAGGTTTGCTCAAGAGGATTCACCTTTACATTTAGTTATTTCCCTACACATGTAAAAGGTCCCACATTCACAAAAGACTAACATTATTTTAATTGGGGTCCATTGTGGTCTTAAATGATTATTTTTAACAATTACGCATAATCTGCAAAGAAAAAAACGTCTTGACCTTCATCTTTTAACCGTTGTTTTATTAGAGCAATCTGTCATAGAATGATACATGCATAAATACAAAAAGACATAGCCCGGATCGACACCCCGGTTCCTGCATCGTAAGCGCACAGTTATAGACCCACTAGCGTCTAGTGGTTCCCAAAGTGGGGGGGGTTTCCCCCTGACCCCCCGGGGGTCCGCCGGGAACCCCTGGGGGGGTCGCAAGATGAATATCCACACAAAAAAGACTATAATATATGTTTAATAACAGTTAGTAATTTTGTCCCCGAGTCATTGCAGCGTCAATCAAAATCATCGCGTACACACTCACATTGCGCAGCGACCAAAGCGTTGTCCTGCTGTGTTCTGCTAAACACTAAAGGTGTTTGAGGCTACAAATAAATAATACCTGCTTTAAAAATGAAACGTGGTTAATATCTAACAACAGAAAAACTCCGAGGGGGAGAAAAGTCACTTGTAGCAGGGGCTGATGGTGCGAAGAGAGGAGAGAGGGCAGGGAAGGAGAGAGGGCAGAGAGGGGAGAGAGGGCCGGGAGAGAGGAGGGAGGGCAGTAGGAGGGGAGAGAGGGCAGAAAGGAGGGAGGGAGGGAGGAGGGCAAGAGGAGGGAGAGAGGGCAGGAGAGGGAGGGAGGACAGAGGAAGGAGGGAGGGAGAGATGGCAGCGGAGGGAGGGCAGCGGGAGGGAGGGAGGCAGAGGCGGGAGAGAGGGCAGCGTCGAAGGGAGAGAGGGCCAGCGGAGGGAGAGAGAGGGCAGAGGAGGGAGCAGGGAGACCGGAGGGGAGGGAGAGAGGCAGAGGAAGGGAGAGAGGGGAGCGTAGAACAGCGCGTTTAAAGAGGCCCCGGCTTTTCCGAGTCAGCGGTAAAGGGATCCGCACATTAAAATCGGGATGGGCCGCTTTCTGCTGTTACGTTATGCGGTTCATCCCCGCGGCTTCCTCTTTCCAAAGTTACTGTCATAAAGGCATAAACCTGACCACGACCGCTTTTAATGTGGCGAACCTCTTACCTTTGACTCCCGAAACAGCCGGGCCTCTTTAACGCCGCTGTTCTACGCCCCGCTGCCCTCTCTCCCTCCTCTGCCCTCTCCTTCCCTCCTCTGTCTCCGCCTCTCCCATCCTCCTGCCCTCTCTCCCTCCGCTGCCTTCTCCTCCGCTGCCCTCACTCTCCCCGCCTCTGCCCTCCCCTCCTCCGGCCTGCCCTCCCTCCGCTGCCCTCGTCTCCTCCCTTCCTTTCCTCAGGACCCTCCCTCCCCTCCACTGCCCTCTCTTCCCTCCTCCTGCTCCCTCCCTCTCCTCCCTCCTCTGCCCTCCTCTGCCCTCTCTGCCCTCCCTCCCTGCCCTCTCTCCCTCCTCTGCCCTCTCTCCCTCCTCTGCCCTCACTCACCTCTCTTCGCACCATCAGCCCCTGATTACAAGTGACGTTTCTCTCCCCCTCACGGGTTTTCTGTTGTAGATATTAACCACGTTTTCATTTAAATGCAGGTATTATTATATTTGTAGCCTCCAAACACCTTTAGTTTTTAGCAAAACAACAGCAGGACACACGCTTTGTCCGCTGCGCATGGTGAGCTGTGGTTTACTGATGATTTTGATTGACGCTGCAATGAACTCGGACAAAATTACTAACGTTATTAAAGATATTATAGTCTTTTTGTGTGAAATCATCTTGCGACCCCCCCAGGGGTTCCCGCGACCCCGCCGGGGGGTCAGGACCCCCACTTTGGGAACCACTAGACTCTAGTGGTGCTAAACTGTGCGCTTACGATGCAGGGAACCCGGGTTCGAATCCCGGGCTAATGTCTTTTGTATTATTTGCATGTTTATCACATTCCTATGACAGATTTGGTACTCTAAAAACGGTAAACAGATGAAGTCAAGACGTTTTTTTGCAGATTATTGCATAATTTGTAAAATTATCATTTAAGACTAACATGTACCCAAGTAAAATAATAGTAGTCTCTTTTTGATGTGGGACTTTTACATGTTAGTGAATAAATAAAATGTAAGGTGATATCCTCGTTGAGCCGAAACCCTGATGTTTGATACGCGAAGAAATACGTTCCAACATCCATTCTTCCCACTCCTATTTTGAACATCCAATGCTTATTTTATTTTGCATAAACTATGTATAAGTACATTGCTTTTATTTTTGTTTTTTGTTTGTTTATCCTCAAATGTCAAATAATAATAATCACAAAAACATTAATCAAAACATGCATTCATGCATTACACGGCTGATCATGCAATGTGAAATGGAGACAGGACAAACCAACTGATAGAAATAATTCGCTGGTTTTGCTGC